ATCGAGTTTCCTATTTCTTTGGATCCGTCAGTATAAATGTGAAGATTATCTTGTGGATTGTCATTTTGTTGTAATTTGTGAATTTATTAACTATATAGTGTCCAGTAAGATTTGTGTTGGTCACGATTTTTGGCAGTAATGCTGGAGGAAGAGATTTGTGGTATGGGTTTGTATTATATTCTGTAGTATATATATCAAGTTGTTGTTTCATTTCCTGTATTTTGTGTCCAAAAGGTTTAGGGTATTTGCCTTTATTAATAATGATTTTAGTTATATTTTTAAGAGATGTTTTGTTTGTGATGGGGTTGTTAAGGGATCGAGTTACATATTTCATTGTACATCTGTCCCATTCGAGAGTGAGGTCTAGTTCCTCGCATTCTACCAACGATGCTTGGACGGATGTTCCTGGGAAGGCTCCAGCTATACATTTAAGTGCTTGGAACTGGATGGAACTGAGTTTGTTTTTATGTGTTTGTGCCATATCTTGAAATATTTCTCAGCCATAGAGTAATTTAGATTTGATGAGTGATTTATATAGTAGTAGTAATGTTTGTTGCTACCCCATGTACTATGTGATAGGTATTTAATAATGTTGAGATCTGACTTGCATTTTTCTTGTATGAATTGAATGTGTTTGTTCCACGTTAAGTGCTGGTCAAGGATTGGACCTAGACATTTTACTGCATCTGATTGCGGTATTTTTTGTTTGTTTGTTTTCTTCGATGTTGTGCTTTGAACACTACAGTTGTTGTTTTAGTGGTAGAGAGTTGGAACCCCCATTGGTTGGTCCAGTTTTCAATATGGTTAAGTGCAGCTTGAATTTATATGGGTATGATAAGGGAGTGTTTCCAGGCTTTGGTGTTTGACCGTTTATCCAAGCTGTATTATAAAGTTTGTAGTTGGTTTATTAATGGTTTAGGGGAGTTTTTTTACATGATATAGCTGGCATTGTCTTGACCTAGGGCAGTACATTTTTTTGTGGTTGATTACTTGTAAAGCTCCACTTCAGTAAAAGGTTTATTGTCGGTTAGATGCGTTTGGGGGTTTTGTGTGTTGTAGGCTGCTGCTTTTTAGGATTTGTTTTGAAATTGTTTGGCAATGTTTTCAGCTTTTTGTTGTTTGTTTCTATTGTTGTTTATAGTTGGAATATGTTGTTTTCTACTTTTACCCCTCATTGAGTTTATTTTTTTCCAGAATTTTCTGGAATTTGTTTTGAAGCTTAGGCTGCTGCAGAAATTGTGGCCTTTTGTATTATTTGTTTGACATTTTGTCTAGCTGCCTGTGCCAGAGGAATTTTATTTGTATCTTTGCGTGCATGTTTTAGTAGTTTATTTTGGTTCATTCCCATTATGACTAGTCCCAGTTTGACTACCCGTCCAATACACAACCTGTTCCAGTCGAGTGGTTTGTAATTACTAGCTCTCTCCCCTCCATCAGGTAGACTGTTCCACCAACACATGTAAACAATAGATCAATCAAAACTGGCGCATGCGTCAATTTTGGCCAATCAGCAGGCCGGGCGCGCTGTGTGGATTTGTCAGACTTATTTCCGGGGTCAAACGATGCCGATGTGCTTCGAACTATGCCATTTTCACTCGCTATATCTATTACATTTTGCTGCGATTTGACGTGTACCTTTAACAAAACCATTACGGTCAAGACAAAAAAATTCAGGCGGATTAAGGAGCGCGATAGGCCTAACGATCAGTTAAATGTCTGCACCATCGTTCACGAAACCTACGTCTGCATGCAGATGAGAATTTGCACGAATTTGCACACTTTTGTACATGGGAAAACGTGAAAGGGTAATAATAAAAAAAAATAATGTAATCAATTATAAATAATTATTTAATTGATTGACATATCAGATTCATATAATTTTAAGGTAGAAATAGGCAAACAAACACCATACATATCATGGCAGGACAATCACTTGGTATTAACTTAGTATTTTGGCCCCTGCTCTTACATGTTTTTTAAAATAATATATTTACTAATAAGATCATTCTGAAAGTGATCGCTGTATCATAACTGATTAAAGTTATTTCAACATCCATAGAATTTGAAAAAGCAAAGGCTACGTTTTGGTCACACCCTGGTCAGGCATTATCCAGTCCTGGAACAGAATAACTTACAAAAATATCAGTTGACTTTTCATGTAACGGAATAAATATTGAAACATATATTTAACCCAGATTTGATGTAATTCTTCTTATAAATCATCAAATTTTTTGGAGGTTACTAATATTTGAAGACTGAGCCAAAGCTAATGTATATTAAGATGTTGGTTTTGGACAAATTGTTCAAGGTTTGTTGATGGTTATTTGGAAAATGAGCTTCATATTAAATTGTACACTGATTTGTAGGAGGTGAAGGCTTCAGGATATTTTCATGTGTGTTTTCCTAAACCTTTGTTATGACTTTTACCAAATTTTGAATCAACTTTACTATAATTTTTATTACACTAGTAAGTATCTCAGAAAAGGAAACAGATCAAAATCAGTGTTATGTCCTCTAGGTATATGCTCTCAGATCTGATAAAACAAAGATTATCATTAATGTCAATTAATGTAATTGCATTGACAAAATGCTTAGAACATAGGATATATTCTTTGCACCTTATTTACACTACAGTAGTATTTAGCAGTTAAACATCTCTGATGAAAAACAATACATTTGTATTTTGTGTAACATTCTATTTCAATGCTAGTTAATTGCACGGATAACTGTGGATCCTCTGTTCTAAGATTTTGCATCACAGGTTTCCTATTTCTGGAAGATGGGTCAGTGTACAGGTGCAGACTGTATCTTGGATCTTCTTTGTGTTCTCGTTCATTTCTCAGATACAGCTGGTGGTTCGTGGGTTGGTCTCAGCAAAATATATTGAACATTTGGCAAAAATGCAAGTTTAGTCGATTAAATAAAACTTTAGCGAAATATGTATGTAGACTGACTGACTGACTGAGTTTTGTTTTACGCCGCTTTTAGGAATATTCCAGCAACATCACGGCGGGGGACACCAGAAATGGGCTTCACACATTGTGCCCATGTGGGGATTCGAACCCGGGTCTTCGGCGTGACGAGCCAACGCTTTAACCACTAGGCTACCCCACCGCCCCTGTTATATGTAGAATGGCTGCTGACTGCATAGGAAAATCTTACAGTAAGGCGGAAATGATGATTAGGAATACCTTTTTTCATCATCATCGTCGTCGTCGTCATCATCATCATCATCACCACCACCACCACCACCAAATCATCATCATCGTCATCTTTTTGTCGTCATTACCATCATCACCAAAATCATTATAATCATCAATCATCATCATCATCATCATCATCATCATCATAACATAAGTGACTTCCCCTTTTTTCAAGTAAGTTCATTACGATTGAATTCTGTTTAACTCCGCTTTGTACAATCTCTGTTTTTGTGTTATATTTTTACCAGGTATCTTATGTTTAATTAATGCTCATATGTATACATGATTATTATGTGAGACACTAAGATAGAGCAGGAATACCTGCGTAAATACAGCTTGTTCAGCTTGACCTGATCAAGTGAATACTAATGCAATGCGTGACCGTGTCACAACTGGTTTGGTCTATTAGAAGGTTTGCACTTTTGACAGTTGATTGTCAAAATGTCTAAACAGCCGAGACAAGGTCGCCGTTTGACATCTCTGTGTCGAAAAATCGTCAGCAACGTCCTAACTTTCTTTAAAATAGAAGCTACAGATGGTTTACTGTTTCCGATTCGGGCTGTAATGAATCCATGCATGCATGTTTCGCACGAACGCAACATTAATAACATTCTCTGCTCCCCTATTTAATGAAGTTAACTCGACCAGACGTTTGTGCCATTTAACCTCCCGGGTCATGCATATGTAGAGTAGCTCAGGTCAAGCTGAACAAGCTGTATGTATATTCATGTTACAAAACCCCCCCAACAGATATTCAATTTATGTCTATGTGTGATCTGGAAAAATATATTTTTACCTTCTGACTCTAGTTTCCCAATGTATCGGGGGCGGTAGAGGTGTGACGATTCATCGATACGCATCGATGCATCATTCCATGGGCCGCCGATACAGTGAATCGATACAAAGTTTTACACTATCGTATATCCCGATACGATACTTCAAATAGGCCACGATACATCGATGTTTTACTTTGAATATTGCCGAATGGCGAATATCTGACAAGAAAGACTTACTTTTGTTTGATGATTAAAATATATGCATCAAACTTATTTAATAATGGTACTTATTTTCCCTTTATAAGTTTCTCGGAAATTCTTGCGTCAGGAACTGTGTCAAACATAGCGCTCGCATTTTATTAACATTCACAAAGTCCGTGTATAAACTTAATTATCTCATTTCCGAATGAACATTGAAAACGCTGGTGGAATTTGAAGGAATACTTTCAAATAGTTTTGTTCTTATAGTTGGTGTTAGAATTAAAGATTTTAGTATCGTGATACGTATCGTATCGCCACCCTTGTATCGGGATTCGTATCGTATCGCAGCTTAAGTGCACAGTACTTTGGCAATATATCGTCGTGACTAAAATTTTAGTATCGTGATGTATCGTATCGCAGGTTGTATGACAATACCAGCACTAGGGGGCGGCGGGGTAACCCAGTGGTTAAAGCGTTCGCTCGTCACACCGAAGACCCGGGTTCGATTCCCCACATGTGTACAATGTGTGAAGCCAATTTCTGGTGTGCCCCGCCATGATATTGCTGGACTATTGGTAAAAGCGGCGTAAAACTAAACGCATTCACTCGTAGTGTATGGAAACTAGAGATCCTCTTTATTATTGGTGGGCATGTCTGTCAACAATCATTACAGTGGCAGCACAATTTCAAGCTTGTCGTTTTTAAAACTGCCGCACAGAGTGTACCAGGAATAGTATCCTCAATACACCTGTATGTGTCTTCGAAAGACAGCAAGCCAAAGAACTATCCAAATATTTGAAAACAACACAAAACAACGTCATAAGCATAGAGTATTTATTTAATGAAATGCACGCTCAATATATCTGCCGGAACCCTGGCTGCCTTTGGGTGACCTGGTATTCCTGAAATAAAAGACATTGTGAGAATTACACGAAAGCCCCAATGCTGTAAACAATCAGTATGAAGCTATTTGTTGTTACACTGTACGTCCTATTTCAGAGGGAGCTGGAGTAGCCTAGTGGTTAATGCGTTCGCCCGTCACGCTGAAGACCTGGGTTCGATTCCACACGTGGGTACTTGTACAACGTGTGAAACCCATTTCTGGTGTCCCCCGCGTGATATTGCTGGAATATTGCTAAAAGCGGCGTAAACATAAACTCACTCACTCCCATTTCACGCTATACCGTGTTATATCACGAAATAGGTTAACCGAATAGCATAGGAACCACCATTCACTAGGAATGCTCTGTATCCATGCCTTCAACATCTGTGATGACTTAAAATACCAATTTCGGCACCAGACTTTGGTCCATGATTTGTGTGGGCGTTCTGTTTCCTGCCCTATTAAACAACTACTTCTTGATAAATTTAAATACTGGCACAATCCATCTACTCACGTAATTCACAATATACCATCCCGGAAAAGGACCACTCCGACCCCGAGTCTACATCCACTTGCAAATCACAAACACGTTTCAAAATACACACATTTGACATGACCGATTCAGCCTTGAAGGAATGACTGACTGACTGACTGAGTTTAGTTTTTAACGCCGCTTTTAGCAATATTCCAGCAATATCACGGCGGGGGACACCAGAAATGGGCTTCACACATTGTGCCCATGTGGGGAATCGAACCCGGGTCTTCGGCGTGACGAGCCAACGCTTTAACCACTAGGCGACCCCACCGCCCCCTCGAAGGAGTGAGGCTGATAAGCGAAACCTTATAGAAATATCATTAACCTCCCTCAAAATAGTCTACATTTGCATAATCAAATTTTACTTGTGTTCATTTCCCAATGAATGTTACAATTTAAGTCCCGACAACCGAAGCGGACTAATTTCACCACTACGTATCGTATTCGTAGTGTACAGGGCGGTGGGGTAGCCTAGTGGCTAAGGCGTTCGCTCGTCACGCCGAAGACCTGCGTTCGATTCCCAACATGGGTACAATGTGTGAAGCCCATTTCTGGTGTCCCCCGCCGTGATACTGCTGGAATATTGCTAAAAGCGGCGTAAAACCCAACTCACTCACTCACTCGTAGTGTACACGTCGGTCTGTCGATTCATACTCCCAAAAGGACACCGTCAATCCTTAAATTGTGATGATGTTGTAAAAGTACATAATCATAATTGACAATTGACATCAATGTAATAAAATATAGACACACCGTGACAATGATACGTACACTGACCTTGAAGGTACTGATTGAACAACACACATGTTACAGGAGTGATTATCATGAAGGGGCGGCGGGGTAGCCTAGTGGTTAAAGTGTTTGCTCTTCACGCTGAAGACCCGGGTTCGATTCCCCACATGGGTACAATGTGTGAAGCCCATTTCTGGTGGTATTGCTTGAATATTGCTAAAAGCGGCGTAAAACTCACTCACGCTCTCAATCAATAAATCACTCATTCATTATCATGAAAGCACGATGTTATAATATGTTCGTGATATATTTTCAATACCTTAGGGTTTGTAGTTCCTTTGTGCAGGGTATCTCTAGTAAGTTGGGTATTTCGGGTAGGACGGGTATCCTTTCGGGTAGGACGGGTATCCTTTCGGGTAGGACGGGTATCCTTTGGGGTAGGACGGGTAGTGGCTTGGGTAGCTCCCATCGCCATAGTATGGTACAGATCTTCTGTATCCTGATACAGATAAACTAGGATGTTACCATCATGTCAGATACACAGACGCAAGCAGTGAGACGATGCTTTAGTATCACCGGTGGGCACTGTGATATTAGATAACAGACTTCATTACTAATAATAAATCATAATTATATCATATGAATCATTTAATATAATTATAAGCTCTTCTAAAGATGCGCGTGACACTGATGACATACTTTTATGTCATCACGATTATCAAAGAGATTTATCGGATAGAATTTAATGTAATATTAAAGCAATATTGAAATTGCATTGTGAAACGACATTCTGTAATATTGACCGGATAACATAATATTATCATATGATTTATGAAGATCAGGCTTATTTGGAATCATTTTCACTCACTTTTGTAATGTCCGCTGTAATCTGGAACAAATAATCAACAGGGTACATAAACATGCATATATGTATGTATGTATGTATGTATGTATGTATGTATGTATGTATGTATGTATGTATGTATGTATGTATGTATGTATGTATGTATGTATGTATGTATGTATGTATGTATGTATGTATGTATGTATGTATGTATGTATGTATGTATGTATGTATGTATGTATGTATGTATGTATGTGTATGTGTGTGTATGTATGTATGTATGTATGTATGTGTATGTATGTATGTGTATGTGTGTGTGTGTGTGTGTGTGTGTGTATATATATATATATATATCACATAGATAAATAAAAACAGACTGCCTTTTTCTCCAACATATTTCGTTCTTTACTCTTCTGGGCGATTGAAGCAGTTACAGTATGACGTCATTACATATATATTGTGACGTCATATAGATATAGATATAGATATAGATATATTTCAGTGCGTATACATTCAACCATCAAGAATTTATTGACTATCCCAGTTGTGTGAGCAGGCAGTGTAAGTAGATGGTGTATTACAGCTCATTGGAACTGTAATTTACCATTCATTTCGCACGAGGTTTCTCTTATGTAAAATCACCTCCCAGGATATATACATAACACAATAATCATCATAATGCTTGAAGACATTTGTGACGTCATCGGTATAGCCTTACAACTAAATAACGTCACTAATGTTTTCTTTACCACCGAGGCTGATAAGCTGTAACTCTACGCTCAAGACATCGGTTATTGATCTTTACAATCTAAAATGCAAACAGGATTTTTCACGAAAAACCGGATTTTACCCTCGTGAATTTTAATACTAAAGCAATCAACACTTATCGACAAAGGAACGGTTTTAAACTCTTCGTCGAGTCTCGTAATAGTTTTGAGTTCTGTTATATCGACACTCGAGTGATATTCTGCGTGTTCCAGCATTTATGGACAGCCAAAAGTCTAAATTGGATGCATTTCATCATATCCATAAATATAGGATTTGGCACTTTCATTTCATATATACTCATGCCAATAATGGTTTGTCACCCCCTTCAAATTTTTTTAATTGGACAGGGGGTGTGGGGTTGGGGTATGAGGTGGGGGTGGGGAGGGGGGTGACAACCATTATTGGCATGAGTATATATGTGTCAACATAAGATCATTGAAGTGACATTTTCTGTCATGAAATAATCGCTAGAGTATATTGCTTTGTCAGTTATATTTTGTGTTCACTTTTGATAAATATTTTTTCGTTAAGTTCCACATCGTATGCGTCCATAACCTTCCCCATGTAACAGTAACTGCCTCATGTCTTTAGTTTTGTATTGTGGATGCACACATTTTCCATCAGTCCTTTAAGATTCGAATGTGTTGAAATTAAGTTTTGCCTTCCAGGCGTGTAGTAAGCCAATTTTTTCGTGTAAGCCCGAGAGGTTGTAAGCTATATATTTAGATAGTATTGAGGGCCTGCCCAACTTTCATGGTGATCTCTAGCACAGTCATGTGTAAGCCCGGGCATTTTTTATAATCGTAGCTACGCCCTGCCTTCGAAAAACCCGAACCTGAGGTTCCTTTCACGAAGCAACCTTTACTAAGGTTAACCTTAACTCCCATTCTTTAACATTGCACCGAGGTTACCTTAGTGACTTACAATCACCTTAGTGCCTTTACTACTTACGATCACCTTAGTGCTTTGTGAAAGGAGCCCCAGCCGTTTCCCTCCACCAGCTCTGAGATAAATAATTTTCTTGGATTTTTTGTTGTTGTTAGAACTGACCTTGGTAGCGGTATTCGGGGTAGTACTTCCCAGGGACGCTTGGTTTGTAGTGACCTCCGTCGTACGCTTCCGGTTTCTGACCCCTGTACGGATACTGGTCGTAGAGAGCACCGGAACAAACCAGCGCGCATGCGCATATGAGAGCAACCGACAAGACAGACGTCATGGCTGAGATTCTGGAAGAGATGAGTTATCTTCAGTTGTGTTCAAAAGGACGATAGATAACTTTACAATCATCAACGGCTGTTAGATCGTTGATATTACAGGCTACGTCAGTTATTAGATCCGCTTCCGAATGAAGGAATTAAAGATAAAAGAACACATTGAGATGAAACGCATCAATATCTTAAGTCAGCATTGTTACGAACGTGATTTCATTTACAAAACCTGACCCAAGCACAGGTTATTATATATCTAGCTCTTCGGTCTCAGCTTATGATCTATCAAGTTTCAGTCACGTTTGGACAGTCTTAATACAGATGGTTCATCCCGACAAAGTCCACTTCTCATTCATATCAATACAACTGAAAACCTACAGAACAAACGTAATTGTTTACGTTATGAAGATATTTCGGAGCAAAAAGACTCGAGCCCTCAATTTTCAAAGTCACCCAACCAGATCATAATAAAATAAAATGTTGTGCATTTGGGACACGTAATGTTCCCTTCCTAATTCAGACTAGGTCATGTTCGGTCCGAAGCAGGACTTCACTCGAAAGTACCGACTTTAATGCACAGTATTAATACTCTATTGTATCGAAGAATTGTCATCTGGTCATGGACCGTTACGATACTTTAAAACATTTCAGTAATAATGATAGCATTGTTTGAGAAAGAAACAAATATGACTCACCAGCTGCAGAAAAGTCAGCAATCAAACTAAAGAGAAAGATGCCAGTGTTGAGGAGACGACACATGGGTCTTATATACACCCTGAACCGACAAAAAGCATTTAGTGCATTTATGTTAATCGTTAATCATGAGGAATCACCCGCCTGCAGCTTGTGAGCATATTCTGCTGATCATGTCAATGTTGGCTGCCTTGTGACAGGTACACAGGATGGTCTTCCGCCATGGTGTTTTTCAGTTGTCATTTCTATTTTATTGTTTACCGTGAAATGTGACAACGTTATACATATCAGAAAACACTGAGGATCGGTAGCTTTCCTTTTCTTAATATATTTAGCTCTACATCAGACTAAAAGGGTCTTTTCTTCTCCTTCACAGTTATCCTATCAACATCGTTGAATTGGTACCAGATATCTGTGCATGTTGTCCATTAAAGGGACTGGCGGTTTGTGTTATCATGGTCAGATTGCGTAGATGTTCGCTCAGTTAGAGGCTCTCAATCATTCTGTTGTCTGATCAAGTGAGGTCGGCGATACTGAGCTTGACCATTGTACCTACAGCAGTCGTCCTCTCGAACTTATGTCATTATTATTGTTTTAACTATTATCTTTGTTGCTGCTGTTGTTATAGCTCTTAAGATATGCTACGGTTGGAATACTACAATAGCAGCTTCTTGGGCTTCACACATTGTGCCCATGTTGATTCGAACCCGGGTCATGATCATGACGAACCAACGCTTTAACCATTAGGGCTCGTCACGCCCCCGAAGTTGCTTCTTTGTATAACTTCTTGGTCATGATCATAGACAGGGTTTTTTTGCTTCTGTCTATTATTTATTTATTTATTTATTTATTTATTTATTTATTTATTTATTTATTTATTTATTTATTTATTTATTTATTTATTTATTTATTTATTTATTTATTTATTTATTTATTTATTTATTTATTTATTTATTTATTTATTTGTTTTTTACATTTATTTTGGGGGTGGTGGGGTAGCCTAGTGGTTATTGCGTTCGCATTTCACGCCGAAGACCTGGGTCGATTCCCACGTGGTTACAATATGTGAAGCCCATTTCTGGTGTCCCTCGCCATGATATAGCTGGAATATTGCTAAAAGCGGCGTAAAACCATACTCACTAACTCAATATTATGGCATTGTTGTTACAACTAAGAACAAAATAACAACATAAGGATATATATGTTGTTAATACTGTTCCTATTGCCACTGATATATTCGTAATTGTATTAATACTTTCCATACGGTATGATACTAAAGGGGCGGTGGGGTAGCCTAGTGGTTAAAGCGTTGGCTCGTCACGCCGAAACCCGGGTTCGAATCCCCACATGGGTACAATGTGTGAAGCCCATTTCTGGTGTCCCCCGCCGTGATGTTGCTGGAATATTGTTAAAAGCGGCGTAAAACCAAACTCAGTAAGTAAGTAAGTATGATACTAAAACGTCACACGTATGTAATGTTTGTACCAAACCATTGCAACTATATGGTTTGGGCAACAACTGACATGTATAACTGTTATGTTAATTCCTTCAATCATCACACATACACGAACATTGAAGAGCTGCCAACAAGAACACAACATTTGACTTCACGTTCACAATTTGCAATATGACACCGAATTCTACTGTCTTTATAAAATTGAAAATTTTAATCTAATATAGAAACTGCTGCATCAAAACTGAATTGTTTGATTTGAAAATTCATGAAATAAATATGCATTGCACTTATTAGCCATGTGAAGTACGAGAGGGACCGAACCTTAGCTTCCTGGTTCATCAATTCAAACTCTTGTCACAGATCTTCCTGCTGATAACGTGAAAGTGATGAATATAATATATTTGTTTAAAAATGTGACGTCATTGGTGTTTTTTGCATAATTGTATGCAGCGTCATCACCATGACGCTTCATATTATGATATTAAAATATGGATGGAGGTAACGTGAGTTAAAGGTCGTGTTAAAAAATACAAGCCACGTCCATGTGTGTTTGGTTTGTGTGTGTGGTGTGGTTTGTGTGTGTGTATGTGAACGGTGTTATCTCTGTGTGTGGTTTGTGTGTGTGTGTGTATGGTGTGTGTGTGTGTGTGGCATGTATGTGTGTGGTTGTCTGTGTGTGTATGTATGGCGGTGTTAGTGTGTGTGTTCACACATGTACTAGTCATTACCAATGCCAGATTTATCGCGTTCGCCCACTGACATACCATGCCACAGTTTAAGATGACCACCCCACTAAGTCACAGTACACCGAAACCGAGCCAACAAATCCTCATTTTACGTCAGTGCCAGGCTGAGTAACAACAAGCACCATCTTTTAACGTTGTTTGGTCGTGACCCAGCCGGGGGTCGGCCTTCCGCTCTCCACTGGACCACTAGACAAACAGTCTGGAGTTAAGGTCTGGACATCATATATACTCATGCCAATAATGGTTGTCACCCCTTCAATGTATTTACAAAACCCAACATCTCTATATATACACACACAATGAGCCGTGAGGGTATTTTATAATTTGAGAGTTTCTAGGGGTAAACCCAAGTACACAATATTGCACTTTTGATTTGCGAATGTACGGGTGTTTATATGTTTTTTTCATAACCAGCAATGTATATTATATGTCATGAATAAGTGATAATTGTGTTTTAAGGGGGTGACAACCATTATTGGCATGAGTATATGACGAAATATGACACATATGAATAAATATTACGACAGAACTGGGATGAATTTACACTGAAGGTCTCGTGACATTAAATATCTGTGAAATGTATCTATGGCATATAGATCAATACCTGCCGCGTCCACCGTATCGGGAGGTACACAAATGATACTAGTCAAGAGCTGACACTTTGCAATTGATTTACAGAACATTCCCTCAACAATTAGGTCTCCATTCAGTCCATAATTTAGAAACTGTAGATATTTAAAGAGTGCGCGTAGCCTAGTTGCATTATTGATTATCACCCATGGGCGTACACATTGTGGCATCTGTGAGCACGTGCATCACGCGTGATAAGATCACACGCCGCGGTGTGTACATGTACATCCGGAGAACGAAAAGCATTAGACACCATTAGTCATTTTTGTACATAATTAGGGCATTCATTAAGGTGTATTCGAAAATTCAAATTTGGTCAAGTATACATTATGTGTGTGCGTGTGTGTGTGTGTGTGTGCGTGCGTGCGTGTGTGTGCGCGTGTGTGCGTGTGTGTGCGCGCGTGTGTGTGTGTGCGTGTGTGTGTGTGTGTGTGTGTGTGTGTGTGTGTGCGTGTGTGTGTGTGTGTGTGTGTGTGTGTGTGTGTGTGTGTGTGTGTGTGTGTGTGTGTGTATTAGCAAGTTTTCTGCTCACCTGAAACGTTTTTATTTTATTGATCAGGCATCTTTCTAAAACACCACCGTCTAGGTCTACATATCCTCTGTCTGACAATCACATGTATCCACCCCGTATTTTCATAAACAGCTACAGTCCGTTTGCTGCAAAATCGTTCCAATGAAATGGCATATAAACACACATTGGAAATGTCAAATTTCAAAACCAATTTTCCGGTAAGCCAATACTCATCTGGTATTAAACAACCCTTTATGGTTCCAGTTACCTTAATGGTTGATGGGGATTAAAAACGTGACAAAGATTTCACAAATCTGACTACAGTAACACCCTGGTCCCGGATCCTGACCACATGCCCGATTTCACGGCATCTCATGACAAACAGTTGGCGCTGGGCACCCATTGTCACCAGAATCTAGTATCGTTACCTCAGATGCATTATCTCAAGAGTGATTCAACTGTTCGGTCCCGTAAGTCCGACCTTTGAATGGGTGTAAAAACAAACTGGTCGGTTTGCTGGGGTATATCTTTAAGGTCGGCTGATTCTAGACAATAGGCAGTCAATGTTTTGACAGCGGTATAGTTACTATGTGCGGCAGTGTGTGACGTGGTATATATAATATTTATTTCCTCCATTCTGAAGAGTACAATGTGTGACGTGGTATAGCGGTGTGATTCTAGACAATATACAGTCAATGTTTTAACAACGGTATGGTTACTGCTAAAATGTTCACCGGAACATAACTGAACACGGATAACGTTGTAAAATATTTAAGCATTTATTGGACTGACTGACTGAGTTTGGTTTTAGGCCGCTTTCAGCAATATTCCAGCAATATCACGGCGGGGGACACCAGAAATGGGCTTCACACATTGTGCCCATGTGGGAAATCGAACCCGGTTCTTCGGCGTGACGAGCCAACGCTTTAACCGCTAGGCTACCCCACCGCCCCGCATTTATTGGAACCGTAATTTCTATTGTCTACATAATAAATAATACACATTCATATAATATATACATATAACACTAAAATGTAGAGCACTAAAATAAGTAAGTTAATAACATACAGTACATAATCTAACATTATTTATATAAAAAGTTTATAGCACTACAAATAACCATTTTCTTTGGACTTAAATTAAATAAATACAATTCATATAGTCGTCTCTCCAAGTCACTGTACTTCTTTGGTGGGGACAAGTCTTTGGCCGACATTGTACTGAAGCATCAGGTATTTTGGAAATTATGTCGTTAACTGTTGAGACCAATGATCTGCAGCCCTTCTGAATACATCCCCACGAGATCCATTTTCCCCTTTTCCTCTTGTTCACAACATATAACCATTTACACATAGGTATCTTCCATCACGAGAAGTAGGAAGAAAGTTATTGTGCATTTGCCATAACTGAAGTTGTGGAAATGATGATGAAAACTGTCAGTTCCAACATTATTATAGCATGCAAGTTTATGTAAGAAATTGAATAACTCTCTACTAGTGAATTGAGTGAACTAAACTCACTCACTAACCCGCTGGGACACATGTCAACCTGCTGGTACACATATTCATATTACGTTGCCTGAGTGAACACATTTTACATTTTGTAGAAAACCAGTGTCTTACTCCCTTAAAACAACACTGATGTCACAACATTAAACATCAAAGGATTTTTACCTCGACCAAAAGGTCGAACTTACGGGACTACCCCGATTGAACATCTACA